CTGGACAGTTGGCAACCCTAGTCCTAAGGCTTATGCCTTGCCAAATTTCTCGTCTCGCTGCATGTGGACCAGAAATGACGGTAGACTCTCTGTAGTCTTTCATGACATGAAACATCCAAAATGCTGTCAGTAGCCACACACCATGTGATCTTTGCCAAGGCTTAGGTCACATAAAGAAACTCAAGAGCAGAAGTATTTTTTATTCCACATTCTAAAAAAAAAGTTGACTGCAAAAGTAAACTCATGTGACAGTTATGTTCAGCTTTCATTTGTGTAAATAACAGCAAATAACAAATGTTATAGCTTAGTAAATTGGGCCTAATGGCCATTATAATTGAACTCCGCCAGGAGGATCTCTTAAAAGTTTTGCTCTGTGCTACATTGTTTATAGTTTTTATATTTTATGTATTTGCAGTTTGTCCTCTGGCATGCATATCATTTCTTGAAGCTTTCTTTGTTTTGCGGCAAATCCTTTTCACCTCCAAATCCGGTCGTGCAAACAAAAAAGCTTGTTCTTATCATGCCAGGTTTAATTTGTTCTCCCAGTAGTCGCTTTAGTTCTTTGAAATGACTTGTGTTTGAAATGTTGCTGTGTTTTTTTTTGTAGTATCACAAGCCAAATTAGCATTACATGGTGTGTATGTGGGCTAATGTGGCGGATGTGCAAGATAGAAAACAGAAAACCCAAGTCTGCCCTCTAGTGTCTGAGTCTGGTATTGCACCACAGAGCTTCATAAAGCACAACAAAACACAAAACTAAAAAGAAAATACAGGACAAGCATTGTTTAAAAATCACTAAAATAAACTAAAGGAATCTTAAGCCTTAAAGCAAAACTCCGGGGGGAAATTATTATTAACCCTTGCAGTGGGGCTACCCCCTCAATGCAAGGGCTAACTGCTTATTTTGGTTTAGAGAGAAAAATATAAAAGGTATACTCAACCGATCCTAAGAGGCGGCTGGCTATTACATTGCTCCCTCCAGCCTCTCCTCCTGCTGCAGCAGTAGACAATGCGACAATCGAATGTCTCCCTGCGTCCTCACGTCCAATATACTGTATTTAGAATGTGATGACTCAGGGATCCTAAAGCGCTATATCTATGAGCCTTTTCATAAATATCTGTACAGCTGACCAAAAAGAGGGACAACTGAGGTGGAAAGGGACAGAGGGTTTAGCTGCAGCTTGGCATTGCATGCTATTGCTGAGTCTGTGGTCTATTGGGAGCCCCAGATCTTTCTCCATCCCCAGGTTTCCTAGAGGAGCGTCTCCTAATGAGTGCCTTGCATTCAGATTTTTTGCTTCCAACTGTATGAATTTACATTTTTCAATATATTTGCCCAACCCTCAATTTTTTCAAGACCTTCTTGTAGTGAATCTATATCGGGGTAGCCAAATTTTGGCCCTCCAGCTGTCATGAAAATACAAACTCCATAAGCCATTGCAAGACTCTAAGAGCCACAGGCATGACTTGCAGATGCAGATGCATGATGAGCGTTGTAGTTTAGCCACAGCTGGAGGGCTGAAATTTGCCTACCCCTGTTCAATATCCTATTGTAAAGTTACAGCCCCACACGGCATGGTATCTTCCAGAAAAACTAACAGGTCTATTCACAAAAGGGTGAAGAGTTTGGAGAATGCAGGAGAAGGGAACAATCTAGGGCAACATAGCTGAAATGGAAAGTGAGCTGAATTGGAGAATTTTTCCATATCAGCTATGTTGTCCTAGATTGTTCACTTCTCCTGCCTTCTCCAAACTCTTCACCCGTCTGTGAATAACCCTGTAAGATTGAACCATTTACTCCAACCTTTATATCGTTTGTAAAGAAGATAATCAGGAGTGTTCCGAACATCCTCAGAAATCGTATTTTCCGCTGGCTGCCTTTCTCAGAAGCAGCCCTTAGTAAATTGTAGACATCCCCTGCAATAAGAGTTTCCATTTTCGCTAAGCTTCATCTGTTTTCTAAAGGGATGCAGACACGGCAACTTTTCTCATTACAACGCAGACTATTCAGGTTCTTCAAGGCAGATCCTTCCATTTACAGATCGGTTTGAGAAAGGAAACGGTGAAAAGAAATTCCTCCAGAATAGAGAAAGGTACGAATCTGCAAGAATTTTACTAAGATTCTTGCAAGGCGAATAACTTAGCTGGAGGGGACTGTCTTCTTCTTCTTATACAAGGAGAGCTGACTTTGTTCAGAAGAGAAAATGTCCATTACAATGTATGAGGTGGTAGAAGAAAATGAAAGCCTGTCTCCCGGAATGTCCACTTCCTGACAATCTGCAGCTATTATACAAAATGCTCTAAATGATATCCGTGTCTGCTTCCTGTGATCAGATTAAGTCTCTTTCTCTTTTCTGAGGTGTTCATTTGGATGGATCCATTGTATGGGATGTAAACATTTTGGTTCCAGTTTCTTTTTACTTACTTCATGAGGATGCTCATTTTTTTGTTGGTGATTTGCTTCATTGCAACATACACCATATGGCCAAATGTTTGTAGACACCTATGTGAGCTTGCTGGGCACCCCATTCCAAAAGCATGGGCATTAATATGTAGATGCTCCCCTTTTTTATTTGCTTCTATAACTTCCTCTGCTCTTCGGGGAAGGCTTTCCACAAGATTTTGGAGTGTGTCTGTAGGGGTTTGGGTCCATTCAGCTGAAAGAGCACTTGTGAAGGCCGGTGGTGTACCGAGTTGTCAATGCAAATCTGTCAGTGACAGATCCCCTTCCTGGGCCAATCAGCTGCAGCAGGGGCATTCCCATTGCTGCTTACATTCTCCAATTCAGCTCACTTTCCAGTTCAGCTATGTTGGCCTAGATTGTGCCCTTATCCTGCCTTCTCCAAACTCTTCACCCTTTTGTGAATAACCCTGTAGGAAGTTGGACAAATTCTATACAAAATGAGGGGAATTCAATTGTCATCTGAACAGGGCTCCCCATTTGAACATTTACCATCACCTTTTGTGATGTCCCATCACTTTTTTTTTCTCAGTAACAATGGCCACCGGGGCAAATAAAGGGGATAAACATATTCAGCTGGGGCAAGGGAAGCAATAAAAACTTGTTAGAGGTTTTAATCCATCTCTGCTCTATCCAAAAGTTTAAAAAAAGTTTTAGCTATTCATGGACTTTAAGTTTGGTTTTAGTTCAGCAGGCAGATCAGCTTTGGCTATGTTAAATAATGGGGACAGGGGTTAGATATTAGAGACAGGAGTTAGGTATTGAGAAAGGAGTTAGGTATTGGAGACAAGGGTTTAGTATTGAGGACAGGGGTTAAGTAATGGGGGGCAGGGGTTAGGTAGTGAGGACAGGGGTAGGGTATTGAGGACAAAGGTTAGGTATTGGGCACAGGGGTTAAGTATTGGGACAGGGGTTAGGTATTTAGGGCAGGGGTTAGGTATTGTGGACAGGGGTTAGGTATTAAGGACAGGGGTTAGGTATTGGGACAGGGGTTAGGTACTGTGTACAGTGGTTAGGTATTGAGGACAAAGGTTAGGTATTGGGGACAAGGGTTAGGTATTGGGACAGGGGTTGGGTATTGGGACAGGGCGTAGGTATTTACGGCAGGGGTTAGGTAATAAGGGTAGGGGTTAGGTATTGGGACCGTGGTTAGGTACTGTGGACAGGTGTTAGGTATTGGGGACAGAGGTTAGATATTTGGGACAGGGGTTAGGTATTTAGTGCAGGGGTTAGGTATTGGGGACAGGGGTTAGGTATTGGGGACAGGGGTTATGTATTGGGACAGGGGTTAGGTATTGGGACAGGGGTTAGGTATTGGGGACAGGGGTTAGGTATTGGGACAGGGGTTAGGTATTGGGGACACGGGTTAGGTATTGGGACAGGGGTGAGGTATTTGGGATAGGGTAAGGTTCAAATTAGCGATTACAGTTTACATTGAAGTTTAGGGGGTTGGGTTTAGGGTAAATTAGTTTTGTATTTTCAGAAAAGAATATTATTGTGCCAGAACATTATATGGACCCTAAGTACCAGCTATGTACTAAAACATCATATGCTAAAAATATTTGTACAAATCCTGCCATGCCAAAAACAAATTTGCATTCTTCTCACTGACCACCAATGTAAGGAGCATCCTTTCCATTGACCACCAATGTAAGGGGCATTCTTCCCACTGACCTCCAATGTAAGGAGCATTCTTCCTACTGACCTCCATGGTAAGGAACATTCTTCCCATTGACCCCCAATGTAGGGGGCAATCTTCCCACTGACCACCAATGTAAGGAGCATTCTTCCTATTGACCACCAATGTAAGGAGCATTCTTCCACTGACCCCCAATGTAAGGAGTATTCTTTCCACTGACCACCAATGTAAGGAGCATTCTTCCCATTGACTTCCTGTATAAGGAGCATTCTTCTCACTGACTTCCAACATAAGGAGCATTCTTCCCAATGACCACTAATGTAAGGAGTATTCTTCCTACTGATCACCAATATAAGAAGAATTCTTCCCATTGGCCACCTATGTAAGGAACATTATTCTCCCTCCAGTATGCTGTATAAAGGGCAGACATATACTATAAATTTTGTTTCATTTCGAATGGATATTTGTACGAATTTCATAACATTTTGACATTCATATGCAGTCCGGATGCAAACGGATCTGAAGGGACCTTTCATGAAAATTTTGAACCGTCTGAATTTTGTTCAAAACGAAAATAATCGGACATGGGACAGATCCGAAATCTGAATAAGGAAACAAATCAAATTTCGGATCCTCAATCTAAAAAAACAAAATAAATAAAAATGTGATTGATCCAAAATGAATTTTTTTGCAGGGTTACATGTCTAATAGAGGGGTCATTGGCTAGTTCTCATCATTCATGAGTGAAATGGAGGTGAGTATAGTTACCAAAGGAGACAGGCAGTTGCTAAGTTGTGCGTGCCCTATATGTATTGCTCACCTATGCAATCTTTTAGTGTTACTCCTTATCTTATTTTGACATGACTGATCTCCCTACTAATACAGTTTATTGATACACAGGTGGTGAGTTTTGCCAGCCTCAAGTTTGATAAGTCAGATGACTGGATGGTGCTTGGTGTCCTCTGGTGTTCTGTAGTGCAAGCTCTTCTACTGCCAATGTTCCTGTGGGCCTGCGATCGCTACCGAGCCGACGTAAAAGCAGTCTGGGACAAGTGTATTGCCATTATGTCCAATGACGACGAAAACGAAGGTGAGAAATTAATAAGTGGCTGAAAACGCTTCCAGGTAAGCAAATAACGAATGGTGGCTTTTATACAAATCTTTCAGCCATTATAAAATGTTAAGGTTACAATTGCTGGCCAAGAGCAAGGACAACATAGTGCCTGCTATAGCATTTCTTAACCAGAAAAGACAGTTCTGTTTACCTCTTCTGATGCTGGTTTCATTTGATTAATTTCTGAGTTAAATCTCCCCCCCCCCCCCTGGAGATCATTCTTTCCCACATCTCTCCAATAATCGCACCCTTATTGACCATAGAGTCATTCTTTTTGGATGGAGGAACAAGGTTGTGCTTAAAAGTCAGGGAAGTCAAGTCATTAGTAATGAAGTAAAACCAGCATCCATGGGGCACACATCAGGCGCTTTACAAGGGCGCTAACAAGGGCAACAACAACTTTGTGAGCCTTACTTCTAGGCACACTTAGGAGTAAGAAATCTTCTGGGTGGGAGAAAAAGGTAGTTGAGCCCGATAGAAGTCTAAGGGGCTATAATGTGCCTGTATATGTGTATATATGACATTTCTAAATGCATGTAATGTTTTTAAATGGTATAACACAGGGGTCCCCAACCCCTGGGTCGCGAACAGGTACAGGTCCATGGCCTGGTAGCAACTGGGCTGCAGCCGCCGGTCCTCGGCCAGGGCTGGATTAAGATAGGGGTACGTGGAGATCCCGCTCCAAATCCGCCCCTGCAAATAGGCCCGGCCAGCCCGGATCGCGTCAATATGCCAAATGGCAATCCGGACCGGCTACATTCAGGCAGAGGCGACCCTCTAATAAGACATTTTACAAGGACGCTTGCTAGGACCTCTCAGCCGTCTGCTTAGAGAGCCACGTCTGCTGCGCCTGCAGCCATCAATGAGACTCTCCGCACCCCTGATGAGAGAGCCCAAACTGGCCACCTGAAAGCCTGCACTGGCAACCTAAAGCCCGCACTGGCTGCCTGAGAACCACACTGGCCACCTCAGAGCAATACTGGCCACCTGAGAGCCCCACTGACCACCTGAGAGCCCGCACTGACCACCTGAGAGCCCCAACTGACCACCTGAGACCCCCACTGACCACCTGAGACCCCGCACTAACCACCTGAGAGCCCCACTGACCACCTGAGAGCCCGCACTGACCACCTGAGAGCCCGCACTGACCACCTGAGAGCCTGCACTGACCACCTTAGAGCCCGCACTGGCCACCTGAGAGCCCAAATTGGCCATCTGAGAGCCCACACTGGCCCCCTGAAAGCCTGCACTGACCACCTGAGAGTCCCACTGACCATCTGAGAGCCCGTATTGG